TTCCCTCCAGTTTCCCTGTAAAGGTGATGTCTGATAGATTTTTGAATAAAACACTCAAGTTTAACTTACAGGTTTGCAGTGCAACACACACAGTCCTGAGTGAAGTCCATTAAAAAATAAAACAGAGCAAAAAAAACCACAAACAAACAAAAAACCCCCAAACAACTAAAAAAACTCCAACAAATGCTAACCTAAACTAAAATGTGCTGGATTAAAAGCAACAATCCAAATCAGCATGAAACCACAAATAAAAATCAACAGACTGTGCCGAAGACCTTGGGGGGATAAAAAGGTTTATAAGTCTTCTTTACAGAGGGGCTTTTTCCACATTCATAAGGCAGCCCCCAGGGACACGAAGGCACAGTTATGAAAACAGTCCCCTTCACATAAACCCCAAGATTCTCCAGCTTCAATCCTTTAGTCTACAGCAGCTCAGAAAGGAACCTAAATCTAATCTATTCAGTTAAAACTAAAATTTCAGACTTAATCCTGCCTCTACAGGCAGCCAACTAAATTTTCCAGCAGGAAAAGTCCTCTTCTCATAGGAAAGTTCTCTTCTGGACTCCTGTCCGGTGTGGGAGTCTCCCCTGTTTGGGCCAGCCTCGGAACACGGACCCCAGAAATCTACTCAGTAGCCCGGGGATCTCCTCCTTTCCCCCTGCAGAGCTCAGCTCCTGGCTTCCCAGGCAAGCGGCAGCGCAGGCCGGTGGCCAGGAGGGCATCGCTGGGGAGGGACAGTGAGCACGGCTGCAGCCAGAACCCAGCAGCACAAGTCACAAAGAGTCACGCTCTGGGGGGGATGCAGAGCTCCCTTCCACCCCTGCGCCTCGGAAACGGGGAGACAGAAGAACACTCAGGAATCTTAGGGCTAAATAACAGAGACTTTGCTGACTGCAGGCATTCAGGATTTTAAGTAAGCAGATAGTTACTTTTGCCATCTTTGACAAAGTCTCGGACTAACGCCTTAACCTCAGGGGCATCGACAGAAAACAACAACAGCGATGATGACGAAAAACAAAAAGAAGCAAATAAAAAGAATCCCATATAAATCAAAACAAGAGCAAAACACAGCCCCAGTAAGCAAATGAATTACCACTGTCATTGCCCAAGTTACGCACAATTACCATGTGTCTTGACACGCAACGAAGACAGGGTAAAAAAAAAATAATAATTCTATCGTGCCTTCTGTTTGGTTCGAGTATACCACAACAGCTTTTTGAAAGCCTGCCTTTCCTTCTTTACCTGTGACCCGAACCTGAAACTCCAGCAGGGGTGATCTTTCAAACAGATCCCCTGCCCAAGAAAAGATGGGAAGAGCATGAGGAGCAGCCCATGTCCAGTCCCGACACACTTTCAGAGGCAGCATGACTAGTACGAAAAACACAGTAAGGGTCACGCTCTGTCTGATAAGGGAAACAATCGAAGTGTATCTATCGTAAGGAATGCCTTTCTCCTGTTAGACTGGATATGTGATGCTGGACTTTGCAAATCTCGTTTTGGTTGAGCAATGAAGATGTTAGTGCTGTTCTCGAGACCATTTAGGTTTCCCCCTCGCTCCGGTGAGAAAGCCCAGGGCTGGTGAGCGCACGCTCAGGAGCAGCCCCGGCTGGGGGGTTCAAAGTGGCGATGGAGAGAATGTGTAGGAGGTATTTGGAGCACAGAGGGAAGTTCGAGGGGGCAGAAGGAACCCTGCAGTGAACGGGTTTCACCAGAACAGACTGGAATCCATCCAGGGCTCCAAACAGGACGAACCGTGTCCACCCAGAACTGGCAATACGGGGGGAGACCCCTGTTCACACCTTTGTGACCACTCGGCGCCCCACGCCTCCACAATGTGAAGGATTTGAGACCTGTGGTGTTTGTCCCCTCCAGGCCTGAAAAACCTGGGGTGCCAAGGCCTGGGCAGCAGGAAAAGGGGACGGGGCAGTCACAGAGGCGGGGCTGCTCCCCACCGCTGCAGGACTGGGGAGAAAAGCTGACAGTGCTACACCACGCAGCCCCCGCTCCCCCCCCCCGTGCCGGGCTG